TGAATGGTTCTATCCCTCAAAATTTAGGATGTCTATATAATTTGCAGAAATTGGATCTTAGTAATAACAAAATAATCGGTAGTATCCCTCCATCTTTGGGTCTCTTGTCTAATTTGTCAGTTTTTTATCTTTATTCAAATAATTTAAATAGTTCTATCCCTCAAAATTTAGGATGTCTAAATAATTTGCAGGAATTGGATCTTAGTAATAACAAAATAACTGGTCGTATCCCTTCATCTCTATCTCATTTGTCTAATTTGCTGTTTTTGAATCTTGGTTCAAATAATTTACAAGGTTTCATTCCTTCCGAAATAGGAATTATGACTGATCTATCTTTGTTGGATCTTGGTACTAACAATTTCACTGGTCGTATTCCATCCACTCTATGGTATTTAACCGATTTGACCAGCTTGTATCTTGATTCAAATCATTTGACAGGGTTAATACCTTCACTATCTGGGCCATTACTAAACTTGAATCTCAGTTGCAATAATCTCACAGGCCCAATCCCAGAGACTTTGGCCAATTTTCCATACAACTCTTTTATAGACAACCCAGGTTTATATTATTATCCTCTTCGCAGCCCCACTACTTCGCCTTCTCCTTTCACTCAACATAGAAAAAACTCCAACAAAGTGATGAGACATATTAAAATTATTCTTCTTAGCACCATTTCTCTTGTGTTGGTATCTCTGGCACTGTTGTTACTTTCTCGAAGAATAAATGGAGCAAAAAGTAAGGAAGCAATTCTAAGTACAGCAAAAAATGGGGATATGTTCTCAATATGGAACTTTGATGGGAGGGTTGCATTTGAAGACATTATTGCAGCAACTGAAGATTTCGATATTCGGTATTGCATTGGTACTGGTGGCTATGGCAGTGTTTACAAGGCACAATTGCCAAATGGCAAAGTAGTTGCCTTAAAAAAACTTCATCGGAGGGAATCAGAGGTACCCACTTTTGACAGGAGTTTTAGGAATGAAGCTAAGATGTTGACAGATATAAGACATAAGAATATTGTCAAGCTTCATGGGTTCTGTCTGCATAGACAGTGCATGTTTTTGATCTATGAATACATGGAAAGAGGAAGCTTGTTTTGTGTTCTTAGAGATGATGCTGAAGCTGTGGAATTGGATTGGATGAAAAGAGTGAATGTCATAAAACACACAGCACATGCTTTGTGTTACCTTCACCATGACTGTATCCCACCCATCCTTCATCGGGACATATCAAGCAACAACATTCTATTAAACTCGGAGTTAGAGGCTGTTGTTTCTGACTTTGGAAATGCTAGGCTTTTGGATCCTGATTCATCTAATCATACCACACTTGCTGGCACCTATGGTTATATTGCCCCAGGTTTTTTCTATCAACATAACAACATTCTTCTTTTGTTGTCTTATTTCACTATTTACTATTAAATTGACTTGTGAAATGTGTGATTATCTATGCAGAGCTTGCCTATACAATTGTTGTGACTGAGAAATGTGATGTTTATAGCTTTGGGGTTGTAGCATTGGAAGTACTAATGGGAAGGCATCCTAGAGAACTGTTGACATTGTTATCAAAACCATATTCTTTGCAAAATGTGATGCTAAGTGATGTATTGGACACACGTCTATCGCCTCCAAGAGGCAGAAATGTTATCCAAAGTATTGTTGTTGCTGCTATGCTTGCATTGGCTTGCTTGCGTGCGAAACCCAAGTCCAGACCAACAATGAAATATGTGTCTCAACATTTTGTTGCCTGCCAAAAACAGCTTTTGAAGCCTATTTCAACTATTTCTTTGTTGGAACTTGTAAGTTCCGATTTGGGGATGGAAAATGGAAGGGAACCTCAACCGGAAATTGTATTAGAACTTGCAAAACTAAATACTGATTTGGGGATGGAAAATGAGAGAGAACCTCATTCAGAAGTTTCATGTCATCTAGATGAGTTCCATGGTTCTTCCTCAAATTAGATTCAACCGAGTTTCCTTGTCCTTTTTTTTTTTGAAAAAAAAATCTGTTTGTCTATTTCATGCTTTACTTTTCTGTATTAATATGTTGAAATTGAATACCACCTTGTTTTGTATACATTTCTCAACCAGGACTACAAATTTTTTGTACTGAAACACATGAATGCACCGACACAAAGTTCGGCACTCAGCAGAAGAAATTGGCTGTACTTTTTTTTAAAAAAGAATCCAGACTGCATCATGTTGTACCATGAAAACTATTGTCCCCAGTAGCTTCAATTAACCTTGATAGCATAGAAGATGCTAGACAAGCAATAAAGAAAGGACATTGACTTTTTCAAACATGGTATATGTTACAAAGGAGCCTTTTCAATGTTTATCTCCAATGCAGAGGGCCCATTAATACACTTCTGCTTAAAATGGAAAATATCTAGGCTTACCAGCATAATTATTAGATGGACCAGGGAAAGAATGTAAAATAAAATTGCGTGCAACGTATAGTGTAGATTTTTTTGAAGTGAATAAAAGTTGAACACCATGGATCTGTTGCTACAACATTGCAGCACCATATATTCTGTCTTGCAGAGAATAATTATCTAAACTAGAAGACAACTAGAAACAGATTAAGTTGAGGATTTGGTGTCTTTATGTGTTGGGGGAAGGGGTTTTAATGCCACAAAGTATGTCACTTGTCTATCCAGAATCATCTATGCAACTATACCAACTCCTAAGTCAAATTATGATTTATTTACCCAAAAACGAAGGTAATTTTATGATTTTTTTTTTCAAAATATGTTTGAAATTGGATAAACATGAGGGCAAGATTGTC